CACACGAGTGTGGAAAATCACTTTTCACACAAATGATGTACAATATTTTTTCTACGACCACAAAATAATGACATCAAAAAATGTAAAACCAGGTTATTATTACTATAATAATTAAAATGTATTAAAAAAAATAAATAACAATAATCGTATTTATTCAATTTTCACACTTTCTAAACAAAAAAAATACTTAAAATAAAAAAAAAACAAAAAAAAATTCTGGCCCCGCCAAGATTTGAACGCGGTCGCTCGCCAAGTCTCAAATGGCAAAGTTAATAAGTTCGACGTTCTAACCATCTGAGCTAATAGCACTTACATCAATTGAATGATCTAATCGGTTATCCATTTAACCAGAATAAAAAGCAAACATATCTTAGTTATTTTAAAATTATTTTAATAATAATTGTTAAAGATAAATATCTATGATCTAATTTACAACAATTTCAATAATTTAACAATCATATCGATTTTAGTATTAATATGGACATTACATAGATCAAAATAGAAATTATATGTTTAACATTTTGTGACAGCTACTGCGGAAAGTAGCATATTCGTACACGGGTGGAAAGTAAATTCTTATTCATACGCGTGTGATATAAGGCACTTTCCATAGTGTGATATGTGTCATTTTCCTAAGTGGTCGTAGGAAAATATCATAGCTTCGTTTGCATTTGGAGAATACTGTGGGTACAGCATTGTCAAATAATCGTCTTCTATAAGATGTACTGTTTGAAAAATATTTTTCTTCAAAATGTTGTTCACATATTCTATATGAAGATAAGCCACTAGGAACTGTGAAATTTAAATCTTCAAGATTACAAGCTTTTAACCAGAGTTGAGCTCTACAAAATTATATTTATTAATACTTAATTTTTCTAAATAAATTTGAACAGTAACATTTCAGTACATACCTTATGGCATCTCCTGGGAATTTAAACATTGTTAGCCCTTGTTCAGAAGTTGTAACAACCACGAACAACGCAATGTATTTTTTTCATTGTAGTAAAAACCTTTAAACTATCTAATATATAATTACTACTTTTAAATAAACCTACTGAAATTCTCTCAAAACGCTAAGAATAATATACCAAACGTCATACACTACATGAACTGACAACTATATTTGACGTTAAACTACCTCTAAAACACTGAGAAAACTTGGCAATTTTTTGTCCACGAATCGCCCATTTAGTGTCGCTTCTTGGGTAGGTATTCTTTGCTTGTGGGTGGAGCAAAACTAATACGTCACTCAGTGTGCCAGCTTTTGGAATTCCTAGGGTTCTCTCCGTTCCCTTTTATTTCTTATTATTTTATTATTATTATTATTTCTTGAAAGTAAAGTTTTAGTTGATCCGCAATAAGTATACTTAATATAAATTATCAATATAGGTAAGTTCTTGTGGTCCATGAAGAATCCAGATGCACGAATTTTGCAAAAAAAAAAATGTAAAAATAATTAATTTGACAAATGAATTGTCAACCAAATTTAATGACGATCAACTAAAGAGGATAGCCTAATTCATTCAATTTCTGCTGGGTCCGGCGTGACGTTTAATTTTTTTATTTCAGATATTTAGAAAATCATTTGACCTGGAAATTATAGAAGTAAATAAATAGGTAAATAGAAAGTAATAGATTTAAATACTGCAACGATAGTCTAATGTATTTATAGTTTATTTATTTAAAACTATTTATTATTTACACTATTTACAATTTATTTATGACGTACTATTTAATTTATATAATACTTAGACACTAACTTACAATTCTAATTTATTTATTACAATTTATGTGTTCAGTCCAATACTTTTTACTAAACTAAACTGCCCGACGATGAGTCGGCTATTTATACCAAGTCCAACTCTGCTACGAGAAGTCTCCAGACGCTCCCGAAAATTCCATCTCTGATTCAACGGCACACTCCGCCCGTTCTACCCGTTTATCGAGCCTCAGCGGCATTCACAGAATATTTCGTCGCCTCGAGCACGAGTCGGCTGCCACAGACGTGAATGCCGCTTGCTTAGACAAAGTCGGATTTAGGAATTTCATGACATTACTAAGGCCATGTTCTCTAAACATATTTTTAATTAACTAATAATTGAGAAATTTTACATATTGAAGTTAAAATTTACATACAGAGTGAACAAAAAGTAACTTAACATATTATTATTTACATTCCTGATAGGTTTACAAAAAAAGTTTTGAATATAAGTTTTATGAAATAAATGAAGTTATCAGTTAATAAGAAATACACCTTCGTACTTAATAAGAAATATACTGAGTTGATCATTATTCAAAAATATATTTTTTAAACAGTTTTTCGTACTCTATTAAATTTCAAATAAAACCGTTAAAACAGTATTGTGCTAACTTTATTAAAAAATAAAAAGTTACCTGACACACCTACATCATAAAAGCACACTCGCCCTCCCACTTCGCAACTACCTTAAGCCGGTTAGACATGGGTAACGCAGCGCTGCGTTGCGTTATTGCGTTAACGCAGTTGTATGCGTTACGAGCGTTGATACACCAGCTGTTACTGTATCAGCGCAACGCAATTTTCGATACTGAGTAGAAAGGATCGCGAGTTGTTGGTGCGCCATGCGCCAGGCACTGATTCCGTTTTCCGTGACGAGTTGAGAATTTTAATTTACGTAATTGATGCAACTCGTAATGCAGATTACCCAAAATCTATCAAGTAATTATGTTCTTTGCAACATGTCACATCATTTGTAGGATTGTAGGTCGAATTTTATGGATTTTAACCTTGTACACTGTCAGTTTTTAGTTCTTCCCATTTTGATTGGCTACTGGTATAAAAAAGTTATATCCTTTTTATATAAATTGAAATTATTGTATTCTTTGTAAAATCCGAACACAATGAAATAAAAAATATGTACATTACACTGTTATATTTTCGTTTATTTTTAAACATAAAGATTTAGTTAAATTCCCAATTGCGTTATTGCCTTGAACACGGTTTGACCCTTATAAAAGGACAGCCCGCGCTGAATAACACCGGCACACCGGTATCATGCGATACACCGAGGTGCAACAACTTCATTCGGCGCAGGCAGTGGTGTGACGCAATAACGCAATTGCGTTAACGCAATGAGTTGGCGCAATAGAGTGCGCCGGAGTTAGTGTATCAACGCAAATAATTTTAGTGCGTTACCCATGTCTAAAGCCGGTTACAGACGCTACATGTATTCGGCGAACATTTGGTATTCGGGTTTATTCGCGTAGCGTGTGGGAAGGTAACTTTGGCGAAGATTCGTCCTTCGTTATTATCCCGCAAATTGTCGGTAAACTGTGCAAAACAAAGAAACTCGAAGCTGTGTCGAAGTTAACTACCAGACGCTTCGGAATTTAGGGGGGTGTATGCATAATATTTTATCAGTTTATAGCGATGGACAGTGCCGCAAGGTTGATTTTTGCATTTTCGGTTATTTTTATTTAAAATTAGTAATGGAGTGGACCAACGAATTAACTTTGGAATTTTTACAATTATATGAAAATGGTCCGGTCATTTGGAACCCAAAGATACCAGATCACAAAAACAGAAATAAGGTGACTCATACATGGAACAATATTAAAACCTCATTTAGCGTGGAGTGCCCGGTTACCGAATTAAAAAAAAAGAAGGATTCTCTGATAGTATTATTTCGCCAATCGCTAAATAAAGTAAAGGCTAGTTTGAAGTCGGGTGCTGGCAGGGATGTGTACAAGCCTACGTGGTTCGCTTACGAAACAATGGCAAATTTATTACAACCAGTTTATTTTCCAAGAAATACAATATATACAGAGGTAAGTCATTATATTTTTTATTTTCCAATAACACTAAAAACTAGTTGAACGAAAATAGCCGTGCGAAAGAGTTGGTATACCTATACTTAGCTTTTTAAGAGGTCTGGTACGTTTTTCTCAAAAAAAATTGGTACTAATAGATTCGATTTAATCTATTAATTATAAAAAAGTTAAAAGCGGCGGCAACAATCTGCTTTTCATCATGGTCCATTTTGAACTAAACAAACGTCACGCATGAAACGCCACTGAAAATCGACGGCTCTCTTCTTGGAGGCTTCACCAAATGATTGTCAAGCCATACCACCACGCAGTGTGGGAGATCAGGCAAATATTCATGCGAATGACGAAGATTCACCTATTCGCCAAATACATGTAGCGTCTGGAACTGGCTTTTACACCTACATCATAACAGCCAGCTATGCTCGTCCCACCAACGGCCTTGTAACTAGATAAAAGAGCGAACAAAGCAAGCACGCTCTTTTCACACCTACACCATAAGAGTCAGCTTACGCTCGTCCCACCAACGGCCTTACCACTAGATGAAAGAGCGAGCGAAGCGGGCGCGCCCTTTTTACACTTATACCGTAAGAGTTAGCTATGCTCATGACAGCGAGCGATGCGAGCGCTTCTGGCCGACGTTTCGAAATTCACGTGGACGTATTTCGAAACTTCGACCGGGCGAGCTCTTTTTACACCTTCACCATAAGAGTCCCCTACGCTCGTTTCCCCAACGGCCTTACCACTAGGGGAAGAAGCGAGCGAAGCGCCGTTTCCCGGGAAAAAAGTGTTTCCCCGGGAAAAAAGTACGTAGTTAGATATTTTAGAATATTTTTTTCAGTATTAAATCGTCGTTTCTCCCGTCACAAAAAAAAATAGTGTATTATACACAGGAAAAATATTAGATTTTTCCCTTGTATAACAAATAATTATTTTCATTTATTTTGGATAAATCGCATTAAAGGTTAATCTATATGTGCACAAATGAATATAAACATTTAAAAATAATCATAAATCTCTTGCAAAATACAAAGAAGTGTTTTAACATTAACTTATTATATACATTTAAAATTGGCAGGCTGAGTGACGTCATTCGCGGGCTTTGAATCTTGGCCCTGATTGGACTAGAGTTACCAGGCAACCTATAATATACGAATCTTGATTTTGCTGCTTGAATTTCCTATTCTTATTTTTAGCGGTAAAAGCTTGTGATATCGTTAATCCCTGTAAAACCCCTTATGAAGTTTTAACAGAAAGCCAAGTGGGACATGAAATGTACGTGAAATCACATGGCGATTATAACCCAAGTGAAAGATTACACAGAAAGTAGGTATATTTTATTTCATTATACGGAGTAGTGTAATAACTAGGACTGAATTATCAAAATAAATAATCGATAATTAAAATAATCGATTAATTAAAATAATCGATTATTCTTTATTAATCGATTAGTTGAAAATAATCGATTGTTTAATTACTCACTTAATCGATTATTTTCGCTGAATCGATTTTTTTCGATTATTTTCGATTATTCAATTACTCGATTATTTTCGATTGATCGATTATTTTCCTAATCGATTATTTTCGCTTAATCGATTAGATTAGATATAATAATGAGATATTAGCCAAAGAAGTAGTTGTTTTCCGAAGGGAAACAGTCGCTCGTATTTTGTGTGACATGTGGCTTTGTGTTTGATTTATTATATTCTTCACACAGTAGTCTATGAAGAGTATTACGGGTTAAATTTGGAGAAACCAAAATTTTTAACATTAATTCAAATTTTATTTATTCTTTCTAATTTTGACATACAAAGGGTGTCCAGAAAGTAACAGACGATTTTAAATAACACAAACAATGTGGTTGATTAGATGTCAGTATTTTTTTACCAAAACACAATGGGGCATGTTCAAAAATTTTGAAATTTTTTTTATGAATAGTAGAGTTAAAAATAAAACTACATTTTTTTTATTTTTTTTTTTATCTATTCATTTGCCGGAGTTATGAATTTTTTAAAAATTTATGACGTCACCGGGAATAGACCAATAGGAGCTAGCGCACAACGTTGCCGGCTAGAAGGTTTACGAGAAGTGATGTACGTTCGTTTGTGTACTCCTTCTTACTTTTAGACTTCTAAAACATCGTTAAACAAATATCTTTTAAATATATAATATCAAATGTGTTTTGAAAGTATTATTTCTGTTTAAACTTTTACCATATTTAACGTTTCATTGTTTTCAAAGTCACTTAATAATTCAGAAAATGGCAAAATGGCAGCACTGTGTATGGCAGCACTGTGTATGGCATCTGTCATTACTGTCATCATAGTGTCTCGATCAAGAATTTATTTGGAATTTGAGTGTTTAATTTTGTACTTTTTATAAATATTATGACTACGAAAAAGTGTTTTGTTCCAGAATGTGATAATGATTCACATTCATCTTCAAAAATATTTATTAGTGTTCCTAAAAATTTGGAAAGAAGAAAATCAACCTTCTACTAGCGATGTTTCTCGGAAACTTTTTAATAAAAATACACCGGATTATCAAGATATAGCAGCAATTTCTGCTAATTGTCCCCTTCAGGAAATTGAAAATGAGGCTATTATAAATTCTTAGGTGAATAACCTAAAAACCCTTCTGGAAGAAAATGCAGAATCTCCTGAAAGTTTTGAAGATACCGAATTTATTCATCATTTTGTGGAAGAACTAGTGATAAAGAAATAATAGAAAAATGTGGGTATTTAAACAAACTGGTTCCTGGATCCCATATAATGGCAGATAGGGGTTTCAGAATATTCAGCTACTTGAAAACATGGGATGCACTTTAGTAAAGCCACACCTAGTGTATCACAGAATGAAAAAAGTTCTCCAGAAGATGTACAATTAAGTAAAAGAATCGAGAAAAGAATAGCATCTCTAAGAATACATGTGGAAAGAGTTAGTTAATTTAATTTAACATGTTAAACCACATTCGTGTGTGAATTTTAAGCAAGTACATTTACTTAGTAATATCTGCATAATTGCTTGTTAACTTACAAGAACCTATTTTGTAAGAGTAAATATTAATTTAATAAATTTTTTTTGTTTGTTTTTTTAATTTAATTTACCTAATTATCACATTTCAGGGATTATAATGAGTTTTTAAACAGCCAATGTAATTTTTTATAAAATTTTAACTTTTCGAACAAATCAAAGAGGAATGAGTACCTGTATATGCATAGATTTTTTTGGGACTAAAACTACCAAAACAAAGGCACCTATTTACAGCAGTTTAAAATGAAACAATTTGACAAAAACGCCTATGTCACAGTGATAAATATTAAAAACAACCAAGTTCAGTTGAATGTGGTAGCAAAGTCTATATATTCCAATAAATCGGGTAACTACATGTGGTATCACTGGTGATAAATTTAAAAATATCACAATTCTTGCCACCTTTTTCAAAAAACCAGAAAGTGTGCCTTCATACCAATCCTTTATGAAAATGACAACAGTGATAAATGTGAAAAAAAAAATTTAATGTTGCTATTCGTTATTACGATAGTAAAACATGTTTGCAGTTCCGTTTATTTGTTATGAAAATCTAAGTAAAAACAACCAATGTCAAAGGGTTATAATTTTTTTTCTGTCGAACCAAATATATCACAAAATTTAAAAATTGATCATAGGTCAAGCTAAAGTAATATCTTTATTGATACTAGCTTTAAAAAAGGAGAAAGAATAATATTGACTTAAGTTATTATTATTAACATTGGTGATTTTTAATAAAAACTCTTCAATTATTGTTTACAAACAAAAATATAAAAATCTGTGAAAATTTTATTTATTAACCTTTTAATAAAAAATGAGAAAAATGAAGTAAAAAAACAATTTATTTACAAATAGAAAATATATACAAATCCTAAGAATATAAAAGTACTGATATATTTTCCTGTAGTGGATGAAGAGGTTTCTTTAACAATCTAGCCAAGTGTACATCAATATTTATGCATTTTGATAAATTAGAGCCTTTCCAATAACACTGAGTAGATGTTACAGATGGTTCCTCACTTCTTCTATGAAGCCACATATTTACAACCAACTGAAAAAAATAAAAGGGTTAGATATGCAGTTACAAAATAACTATATAACCAGCTACAAAATGCCTTTATTTTATGTAACAAGACGAGCAGAGCTTTACTAGCTCTGAACGAATCCAGTAAAGAACCTCGGATTTTCAAAACTTAAAAAAAAACAACCTCACCACATTTTCACATTTTTGAAATATTATAGAGCTTTTCAAAAAAAACTGCTATTTTTAAAAATACAATTTTTTGTTTAAACAGCTATGTCTCATTTTAGGCTATTGAGTATTATAAAATAAAAAATTACGGGATGCTTTGTTAGCTTCAAACGAATCCAGCAGAGCACCCCAGTTTTTTTTTAAACCACACCACGTTTTTTGGCTCCTACAATATTATAAAATATTCGAAATTTGGCATTTTAAAAAAGATTCGCAATTCCTTGCTGACTTCAAAGTTTTTTTCTAAAAACAAATGTACTTACCACATTTTTAGGATTTTAAAACAGCCTAAACATGTGTCATAAGTAGTTGTTTTTATATATATATATAAAAAAAAAACAAATTAAAAAACTGAAGTGTCCTGCTGACTTTGTTCCAACAAAGCACCCTGTATTATTTAAAAATAGCAATTTTTTTAGTAAAGTTTTACAATATTTCAAGAGTCTAAAAATATTCTAAAAATGGGGTGTGGTTTTTAGAAAAAAGCTTTAAAAAAACCAAATTGCTCTGCTGGCTTCTTTCGAAGGTTAGCAAGCACCATGTATTTTTAAAAATATAATATTTCAAGTTGCTGTTTTTACAGAAAAAACTTTATAAAACAGAGGTGCTTTGCTGACTTCGTTCGAAGCTATAGAGCATTTTAAGTTTTGCAAAAAACGAGGAGCATAAAATTTTTGAAAAGGGTATAAAAATAGCCTATTCTTTGGTATCATAATTATTACTAGGTTCACTAACAAAATCTGTTTCTAGATTATTTTAACACTTGCTGCGATTACAAAAAATGTCTATATGTCAAAATTAGAAAAAAAATATTTATAGTAATAAAGGGCCTTATACACTGTTTATTATATGTAATATAAAAACAAAAAGCATAATAAATATTACAAACCTTGACATGCAGCATATTGTGCACTAAAATTTTCATTTTTGTTAATTACAACAACAACATCAGAAGGTTTTTGCCGTACTTTATGTTTAGGTGTAATTTGTCTCTTATGGAAAAATAAATTATCCCCATATTCTTGCTTGGCAGATCTAAAAATAAAACCTGAGATAAATACGTTTTACTTGCTCCATATAAACTGTAACTACCTACTATTAAAACAAAGTCTTACCTTTCTAACTTTTGTAAACTGAGTATTGTTAAAAAATGCAGTAATCATCTCGGTAATCATATTTTCGTTTACAATGGGTAAAACACTTGATTCAACTTTTATAAATCCAGCTGATTCATATTAATAATAAAATTAAACCAAAACCAGGGCTGGATACCAGCCCTGACCAAAACAAAAAACTAAGGTTAGGTGCTGTCAATTTTAATGTCACTTAGATGTGCGTTCACTTCGACATTCTGTGTGTCGGTTTGTTCGTTGGCTTGGTTTTGTATAACAAAAAAAACTTCGACACAAGATGATTGGTCTATTCCCGATGACGTATAATTTCAAATTTTAAATTTCAATTGGGCTTAATTTAAAAACTTTTGGCTTTTTTAACGAACTGACTATTTAGAATAACTTGTATAGCGACTAACTATTACAATATAATTTATAAAACAGCATATCTCACATGTGAACATGGCCCATTTTATAAATAATCTGGTCAAAATTAGAAAAAATATTGTATGTACTACGTTAGGAAATGCCGTTTTATGTAACTCGTTACATAAAATAAGGCACTGGTTTCATAAATAGCTATTGTACCAAAACTATTCTCATCAAATATTAAAATTCTGTCCGTCCGTATGTTAATTAAAGACGAAAAACGATATCAACTTTATATTTTTAGAAAAATCAAGCTCTATAAGGGAACGAAGCCTATTGATTTTGAAAAAAAAAATCAATAAAAGTGGGGGATTAAGGTATGTTAAACTGTAAAGAGCATAATATAGTAGTAGGTATATAGTATCCAAAATATCACCACATCCCCCTCAAGTCTGTTTCCGCTGTCTATTCATCTCCACGTTCTATGTATTTCCGAATAAATTTCCTGTTCTGGAATATATACGTCCACTCGCAGTTTTTATCAGGTAATTTCTTTTGCTTTTGTCTTCAACGATCTCTCCTTGTTTGTCCCATAATTTACTTTTTGGGTTTTGAATTCTAACCCTAGATTCAACTTTAAGTGGGGCCAGATCTGTAGCCGATTTATTATAATAGTAAATTGCCTTGTCGCGCTGGGTTCTTTTTATTCTATCGTAAGTGTCTACTGCAACCTGCCATTCTTTTGCAAATGCCTTTTGATGTGCGGGTACTAAAGTCCTAATAGGGTGACCAAATAAAACCTGAGCTGGAGATAGTCGATTCGATTCTGGAGTATTTCTCCATTCCAGCAACCCTGCACAAAATCGGTGGTCATCTAATTTGCCACCTTTCGTACATTTTGAAATTAATGCTTTTACACCAGCCTCAGCGTGTCCATTGCTTTGTGGATAATTTGGGCTGGATGTACAATGAACTACATTCCATTTTTTCTAAAATGAACTAAATTCGTAAGAACTAAATTGCGGGCCATTGTCAGAACGCAATCGTAGAGGTACATCAGTAACGCAAAATATTATTCTTAAATCATTTGCTAAAATTGTGCTGTTTGGGTCCCTATTTTCATAATAACATATTACTGGCCATTTGGATAGTCTGTCCATATATACCAAGTATTTTTTACCAGCGTACGAAAACACATCCGCTGAAACATCTTGAAAAGAAAGGATAGGAGGTGGATCATCCAAATATGTTTTTCTTTGTAAGGAAGGTCTAATCGACAAACTTCACATGACCCAAAAAAATATTTTTAATATCGTTATTGATATTTGGCCAGTACCCATACTGTCTATCTTGCACAGCGTTTTGGGAATCGTGAAATCTTTCTAACACCATTATTCTTGAAGACACAGGTATGACAATTTGGCATCCTTTTAGGACAAAACCATTATTATAACTTAGCTCATTTCGAGTATTCCAAAATGACCCAAGCGAAAAGTCAAGCTGGTCCTTTTGATCTGGAAAACCTTTTTTTTATGACCGTAATTAACTTCTGGTATGTGTCTTCTTTAGATGCTGATTCTTTCAAGAATTCCAACAACGAATCTGGAAGATGTGAAGTTCTAGATACATCTTCAGTATTATCTATTAATGCCACTTGTTGTATAACAAAAGAATTAACATGAACTGTAGAATCTTCTCCGAAGAGTTCATCTTCATTAGGTGTATTTACAGGAGCTCGAGACAACGCGTCTGGTATCAAGGGATTTAGTCCTATTGTCCATTCTACTGTAAAATTATAACCACATAATTTTTCCTTAAGTCGTTGAATTCTGGGATTTTCTATTATGTCTAACGTATACGAATTTAGAATTGGAACTAATGGCTTGTGGTCAGTAACTACCTTGAATTTATTTAAGCCTAGTAAATACAATCGACATTTTTTATAGCCCAAACTATTGCTAGTAATTTTATCTCTAACATTGCGTATCTCGTCTCAGTATCAGATAAAAATCGGGAACCACATTGTACCAATTTCCAGATGTCTCCATGTCTTTGAAGCAGTACGTATCCCAAACCATTTAATCGTGAAGCATCTGCATTCAAAGCGGTTGGTAATGTTGGATTAAAGGTAGCTAGTATCGGTGGCTTTATAAGAGCTTTTCTAAAATTATTAAATGCTTCATTATGTTTTAGACACAAAGTATATTGATTTCTTATTTTCAATAAATCTCTCAAAGGACCTGCAGCTGCACTGATTTCGGAAGAAAAGCTTCCAAGCTGATTGACCATGCCCATAAATGATCGAAGTTCCTTCAAACACGTAGGTTTAGGGAATTTTTAGATTACATCAACTTTCTTGGGATCAGCTTCAATTCCATTAAGTGTACATTTTTCTAATAGCTTGATTATTCTTTTAAAATTATTTGGAAAAGTGTCGTCGTATACTAATAGGTCATCGACAAAATTTTCGATATTATGGATATCTGATAAAGCCTCATCTCCTCTCCTGCAAAACTCATTTCCAGAGCTGATTAACCCCATAGATGCCCTCAAGAATTTATATCGTCCCCATCAGGGAGTTAAAAACGTTGTCAGATTTTGGCTCTCTTTGTCGAGAAGTATTTGCCAATATCCACTTTCCATGTCTAGAGACGAAAATTACTTCGCGTTGTCAATTATGTTAGATACTGCTTCCCATGGATATTTAAAGGGATGTACAGGTCTTTTAATGAAACGATTAAGCTTTGTAAGTTTACCATTTTTTTTTTGTACAATGACAAGTGGACTGACAAAATCTGTAGGAGACTCTTCAGCTTGTATAATAATGCCTTTTTTTGTTAACGAGTCCAACTCTGTCTTCACTTGTTTCCTCCATGCAAATGGAATTCTTCTTGGACAAGATATTGCATATGGAACTACATTATCTTTCAGATATATATGCATTGGCCGTCCATCCATTGGCTTGAGTGTTATTTTTAGATCCAAAGACGTTGTATTTTGCGAATTCATTCACAGTCTGCCTCTGTAGGTTTTTTTAGGAATTTTCAATTCTAGACTACTTATTGAGTTATATGAAAATAAATATCGTGGAAATTCTGGATGAATGATACCCAATTCGATCATTGACCTTCTATCGATAAGTAATTCTTTGACACCAGAGCAAATATAAACACTTATTTTTGTACTTAAATTTTCGTATTTGATTTCACATTCTAAAAATCCAAAACTGCTCATTTTTTTATCATCAGATTCTAAACGTATGTTACTTTATCTTAAATCATCTTTCTGGAACTTTAATACATTTAAAAATTCATATCCAGCTACGCAGTCTTCAGCTCCAGTATCTGGTGTAGCTTTATATTCAACGCTGAATCTGGTATTATTCGATGGCTTAATTTGTACTAGAAGTCTAAAGGGAGATAGCCGAAAAAATTAGGTTAGAACTTTTTAAATGACACAGTGGAAATCTACAATTTTTTCTACATCTACGTATTACAAACACAAAATTTAACATTTTTTGACAAAACCTTGTTTTCTTTAGACTTAAAAAACTTTTCTACCTGAAATGTCATAGTTCAGATGTGTGACCTGTATTTAAAAATAGTTAGGTACAGATGAGATAAAAATTTCATTTTTGCCATATTAATAATCTTACCCCTCTACCATCACCAATTAGAGGGTGATGAAGGGGGTGGTGGCATCCCCAAAAAATTTAGTTAGAACCATTTAAATATTTAAACATTTCATATTGTTTTGATAACATTTTTCAAACATTTTGGACTATTCGGACGTTTTTGGACGGGATAAAAATTGTTACAGAGGAGATAAAAGTCTAATTTTTGGCAACGTTTTAGATCAGAGGTCTATTGTAAATGTGCCAAAAATAAAATTTTTATCTGTAACATTTTTTTTAATGTCGCCCTCTCGGACGCCACTGTGATTAATAAGAGAAACTTTAATTGTTAAAATAAAGTGAAAAATTTTATTTTAGTTACGAATCCCCTCCTTTCGACAGTAAGAAACGTTTCGGAAGAAGATACAATTACGACTACAGAGGAATTTGGGTGAAATGCGCCTGCACTTGGCACATCAGAAAGCCGTATATTCACTGTAACAAAAGAATAACTGATTTTGCTAAACATACGAAACACTTTTTAGGGAAACCTTTTGCGCCGTAAGTATCAAAACCCAAAAAGATTGTATTATTTAACACAGTGTCTAGGTAAACGCTAACTTGTACGCAATTCAAAAAGTCATATACAAGCGAAACGTCTTGACAGAGTAGGTGAGTTGTGTCAAGGCCGTTGGTGTTTATGCCGCTCGGCGTAGCCAGGTATGTATTGAAATTTTCTGCTTCGTTTTCTTGTTGTCGCGGCATTATTATTATTTGTTCATGTATGTGAAATTTGTTTCTAAGGTTTATAAAATACTACTGCTAGTCACGGCGTAAATGAAAAAAAACAAGACGCATTAACACAAACACCTCCCACCTCAGCAATATGACGTTTCGCGTGTATATAATTTTTTGATTTGTGTACACTTTAGCGTGTCATTTGGTCAATGACCCACCTAATTTATTTGAAACAATATTTAATAATAAACTATCTTTAAAAAGTACAATTACATTTTCATGCCGAAATTCCCCAATTATTACCAATGAAGCCAAAATTACTAATGTCTAATAACAATTCTTATCCGCTGCGCTCTTATAGCCCTGTTTGGCCGTATTGACAACATGGATTATAAGGCAATCCACAAGGAAAAATGCATTGCAAGTAAACAGAGATACATATATTATAACAGCACATGCGCCTGCTTTGAAGTTGAAAAGAGGCAAGTAATTGTCGACGGCCGGCCAATATATATAAAATAATTAATTATTGAATCCAAGTCACGCGAGAATCATACATTTTGATCCATTAAATTGATATTTTTTTACAGAAATCACAATATTGATCGTGTACCAAAAAATCATGCTTTCGGCAAACCTACGGACAGGCCCAATTTCAGTGTCGCTGAATTACTCAAGGGGCCTAACTACGAACCGTGTATGTTCCTAAGGGACATGCACAGTTGGGTAGCAATGTTGTCAAAGTTGCGGATAATAGTGAAGAAAAAAGTATCCAAGGGATACCTAGCCTTGAATGATTTCTTGAAGACTCTCAAGTATTACGACAAAGTGAGTAAATTATTTGGTAGACTGTGGACAATTACAGTAAGAAGAACGCTGCTACGTTAACCATTGTTTCGAATTTCAAATACAGTGCTTTTCAGATAAAAGTATCCACCTTAAGTAACTTTTGAAGGACTGATTATTACAAAAAACAAAAAAATACGTCAATTAATATTCGAAGGGGGAGATATCGTGCCATATTTAAGTTTGCTGAAAAAGTCACCCTTTCACCCCTACTATCATCCCTTCAATTTTTTTAAATGGCTTCCCCCATTTTTTTATCCATTTTTGGATTGTTCTCGTTTAACTGATTTCAAAAATGTATAAAACATGGGGTTTAAAATAATTAGTTTATGATCTACAGGGTTCCATTATTTGAGGGACAAATTTTTACATCTCACCTTACTGACTGCAGCAAAATTGGATTTAGAATACATTATACCTTAATCGTACCGCTAAAAACTTGTTGAAGTTTTTTATGATACATGGTAAAGGTATTGGAGATTTGAAAAATGAATTTAAATTACTTTTATAGTGTATTTTGATACATGTGCACATTGATTTGTTGAGGTTATTTATTTGATTTGAAAATGGTTTACAGTTTACAGGAAAGAATTGAACTTGTAGGTTTATACTACAAAAATAACAGTTCTGCACGAGCTGCTGCTGGAATTTTCAACGAAACACACCAAGGAGGTCATGCAACTCATAAGTATGTAATTGATCTTATGCATGAATTTACATCAACCGGGTCAGTTGGCAATAAAAAACATAACCGACTGGAACTCGTAAATAACGAAGCAATTGAAGTCGCAGTTTTCGGACAAGTAAGTCTTGAAAATCAACAAGCACAGTCACTGACAACAATAAGCAGAGAAGTAGGTGTTTCATCTTCCACAGTTTATCGAATATTACACAAGCATAAGTACCATCCATACAAAATTAAATTGGTTCAAGAGTTGTATGAAGATGATTTTGATTGTCGTCTTGAATTTTGTGAACTATTGAGTCAGCGCTTGACTGACAATCCACATTTGTTGCACAACCTTTGTTTTTCGGATGAATGCACATTTTCAGTTAATGGTTTAGTTAATAGACATAATTGCAGATATTGGGCTGAGAGTGATCCACATGTTAATTGTGCGTGAATACCACACACAGAATCCTCCAAAGTTAAATGTATGGTGTGGTATCCTAGGTGACCACATAGTCGGACCTTTCTTTTTAGACGGAAACTTAAATGGAGAGTCATATCTTGAGTTATTGAGAGAAGTAATTGATCCACGTATTACAACAATAATAGAAAATGATCATAATCTTTCTGAAGACTTGCTTGTCTTTCAACAGGATGGAGCGCCTCCACATTTTGCTTTGCCAGTACGACAATTTTTAAATGAAACTTTCCCCAATCGTTGGATAGGTAGAAGAGGCTCGATGATGGAGTGGCCACCTAGATCACCGGATTTATCACCTCTAGACTTCTTTTTATGGGGTTATTTAAAAACAAAAATTTATGCTACCCAACCAGAATCTTTAGAAGATTTACGACAAAGAATAGAGTATGAATGCCTACATTTAAATGCACACGTGTTCGGTAATGTCAGGGAGGCTTTTCAATCTAGGTTATACCATTGTATGGAAGTAAATGGTGGACATTTTGAACAATTTTTATAATAAATTTTGAAAATGAAATATTCGTTTTGTCATTGGAAACGCTTGTGACAAAATCATTAAAATAAAAGTTTTGCACAATTCAATTTTATTTTAATTTAAAATTCTGTAGATCGTAAATTAATTACTTTAATCCCCATGTTTTATACATTTTTGAAATCAGTTAAACGAGAGCAATCCAAAAATGGATAAAAAAATGGGGCAAGCCATTTAAAAAAATTTAAGGGATGATAGTAGGGGTGAAAGGGTGACTTTTTTAGCAAACTTAAATATGGCACGATATCTCCCCCTTCGAATATTAATTGACGTATTTTTTTGTTTTTTGTAATAATCAGTCCTTCAAAAGTTACTTAAGGTGGATACTTTTATCTGAAAAGCACTGTGTATATTATCTATAACTATCAATAAATAAAAATAAGTAAATATACAGGGTGTTTCAAAAAGATTGGTCATAAATTATACCACGTATTCTTGGGTCAAAAATAGGTCGATTAAACCGTACTTACCTAGCACCCAAAAATAGTTATAAGATAAAAATTTAAATGAATTTTTTTAACGTTGCTCTTAAACCGTTCGACATTTTTTCATGAAATTTTATATGACGTGTTGGCTGACACTTATTTGATTATGCCTCTCACCTCGTTAGACAATGTGGGCGCGTCTTGTCCTATTTCGGGTTCGTTTTCGTAGTCTTCTTCAACTTCTTCGGTGAAGTTCATATATTCGTCATCTTGATCGTTCTGTTTGTAGCGAGGTGTTGAAGGCATTACCTTAATCTTCAGTTGTCTAAACAACCCATTTGCTCCATGCAATGTTGGGATGGGTTTTCTTTCATCACTCAAGGTTTTTTGTAATTTCCATAGGCCGTCTCTGAAGGTTAAGTTCTTCAAGAAATTCTTCCCATTTTTGTCAGTGTGTTGTTTTAGTTTTTCGCTGACAATGGGGTCTATTCTGTAACAATTCCTTTATATTTAACGGCCTTTATTTTCTTCTTTACTTCTGTCATTATTTAAACGGATCTTTAAAATACATTAGAGTACTATCTTAAAGAAATCTGTTTAAATAATGACAGAAGTAAATTAACGAATACAAATATACTTTTAAAGGCCGCCAATATTTTTAAAGGCCGCCAATATTTTTAAAGGCCGTTAAATATAAAGGAATTTTTACAGAATAGACCCCTTTATGTCCGACTATATTTTCGCGTCGTCTGTCCATTGGGTCTCTCATTCGATTTGCTATCTCCGTGCTCTCTTGTAAGTAATTAAATATTTAATTCGAGGATATCTTCGCTGTAGTGTGTGCGGTCTAGAAGTCTGATTGCTGCGTAACCAGGGTTGTCTTCAAGGAAGTCTTCTAGCGCCCGTCCTTTAGGGTTGTGCCTTGTGATGTTCCAGTCCAGTGATTTTGCATTTAAGTATCCAATAATGATTCCTTCCATGTCTGGTGAAGCAGTGCTAGTATGTCTTCATGATGGAGTCTGCAGTATAGACTGAGGTCTAACACGTAGTACGACGATATCCTTAGATCCCCGTGAGTCGCGCGTCCTCTATAAATACTGGGAGCAGTTCCCACAGATTCTGCCGTTCTAATGACATCATCAACAATCCTAAGAGCGACATTGATCATATGTATCAAAATACGGGCCCTGAGTGTTTATTTTACTACAAAACAGCGAAAAAAAGTATATTTTTGTTGCATTTACATAATTTCGCATATTTTAGGAAAAATCTGGTCTGATGGCAAAAGATCAGTTGTACGATTTTTGCGAAAAGAATAACATTTTGTTTTCAACTGTTGATCTGGAACCTTTTTTTAAATTACTTAACGTACTGCATGATGATGGAATGATCGATTATAAGAAATTTGTAGATCTGATCGATCCCAACCTTCGTCCACCAGAATTGATGCCAGTAAAAGGTAAAATGTCTAAAATTCTATCGAAAATATTTAAATAAATAATAATAATTATTCAATATACTATCTTTTTTATGTGAAAATTTCTAATGCTCGAAACACTGCCATAATGCTACAAATATTTTTTAGATGTACCAGAGTCATGTCTATATTACATTACTAGTGCTGAAGAACTGTCACGTGACCATCTATTGGTCGACAATTCAAGTAAGTTGCTACTGTTTAAATATTTTTTTTATTTTATATAAAAACTTTCTTTCGTGCTCTATTTCGAGACTGGTACCGTTTACAAAATCTAGATATTACCTAACCGCAATAAACTATAATAAAACCAAAATTCTTGTGATGATGTTAGATGGCATCCCATTTAAAAAAATGCACCCCGAATAACTTTTGATAGGGCTATCGTTTTTCAAAAATCGCTTAACCATGCTATCTTTTGGTCTGTAGGAAACAGCCTCCCATGACCTGCGCTCTCTTACATAAAAATGTAAATAGGGAATTTAAGCATGAGCCAACATAGTATACGAAATTTACAGTGAAGAAATCAGAAGTAAGAACATAAATAAGTTAAGAAAGGAAGCGTGAATCTCGTCCACATTGGGTAGAGTAGGGACTAAAAGAAGAAAGCAACTAGTGGCGACGGTTTCATTTCTATAATTGATACGTAATCAACCTCAATAAAAATATTATGTCTGAATTTAGATACGGTGGGAGATACACATGTTCTCAAAAAGTGGACTTTGAGGGAAGGGCGAGTTTACTATTTTGAAATACTTTTGTGCTAAAAATTCTAGACTAAGTTACTATCATAATGCCAGGAGAGTTAGAGAAAGATTTTGTTAGAGAAAGATTTTGTCAAGGGACATAGAGAACACCGAGTGTTGACAGATGTATGCGTGTTGGATTTGTGAGTTATTAAAAGTTAAACCCAACACAAATTATAAATACGGCCCTAAGCCGCGCTTACCAAGTGGACTGTCTCCTTTCGGTGCTAGTTGCAACCATCTCCATACGGATAATGAATTTCCAACACTTCGCAAAAAACAATTTATTGTGCAAAAACGCTGCACGACCACTTCTAAATTTGTACATATTTACACTACTTAAATGCTTAACAATGCATTTGGGTTTCACACCATATTTTATTATTATCTTTGCTCAGGTAATTTTTATAACAGAAAAACTGTCTTTGTGTTTTTAATGAGAACCCGTCCGACGTTTTGTGCGGTTCAAAGAAAGAGATACATACATGTCTACGTGACCGAAACTTGTTAGCCTTGAGTGTTTCGCGCTGATGCAATTCGGCGGATGCGGTTATTGTCACGTACACTTTTTTTTTAGATGCTAATAATGAATATCTGGGTTCGCGAGCACAGGACCGTCTTTGATATATTTCAAACGGCTTTGAAACAATGAGGATGACATAAAAATTGTCCAACTATCTAAGGGACCTTCGAACTAATCCTAATATCGAAAACTTATTCAGAGTGAATTCTTTTAATAGGAATTGGAAAACAAAAAATATTTTTTTTACAGAATTACCAACTGCGGGAAATCCATCATTCAGAACCGATTTAGCCAGACCTTATAAAACCGAGGGTATCCATAAAGCAGACATGGACAGCTTACCTAACTTTACCACAATGAAAACGGTCATTAATCCTAGTATATATACGAGATATGGATTGACTTTCAGAGATTTCTTTTTAGTAAGTAAAAATATTTAGTAAGCAAAACTATTTAGTAAGTAAAAATATTTAGTAAATAAAAATATTTAGTAAGTAAAAATATTTAATAAGTAAAAATATTTAGTAGGTAAAAATATTCAGTAAGTAGACGTGGGAACAAGACACATGTATCAACTCTCAATCTTCTTCCGTCACTTTTTCCTTTGTTTTAACAAGAAAACCTCGTAAATCCTTTTGACACTATTATTTTATTATACTGACAACTATTCAAAAAAATGATTATATTAAAATCATAGTATGTAATAAATGTATATGCAGGGCATATTAATATTTTTAAACATAGTCCCCCCCCCCGGTGTTGATATCACTTTTATCAACACAAGTATTGAATTTAAAAATTCTTTTAAATTATTTATTGTTTCGGCCTTTACTTGATGAAAATCCATTTAATTTTGATAGAGTAAAACCAAATTTGGTAGATTTTCACACTTTTATTTTAAAAATAAAAATTTTTAAAAAAACACTAACATGACATATGTTTCGAAGTACAACTTCTTTTTCAAATGTGACTATTTACAATTCGGTATCCAATATACAGGGTGTCCTTTAAAATGTGTCCCAAAATTCTCAGGCAGATTCCTTAACCAAAAAATGGAAAAAAAGTTCCTATAGACCTATGTCCTAAAGTGCCCCCTAAGCGAGCAACAGCCTCTCGAAATCATTTTTTTATTTTGACTTTTTGAATTTTCTTAAAAATGGAAACAAATAAAAGAACCAAATTTTGGCTGTTAAATATGATCAATAATAGTGACCTTTTGACACCTTCAAAAAGAAATTATTTCGTCAGGGGTGTACTTGGGAATTTTTTGAAAATTTTGATTATTCATAACTTTTTTGTGTTTTTGGTAATGACTTATCCATATTTTTTTTTACATTCTACATTGAAAACTACGTCAAAAAGGAATACTTGTTTGATCTCGATTGGAGCAGCCGTTTCCGAGAAAACATCATCCAAAGATATTCGTCCACTTTAGCTTAATTTTCAATTTTCCTAAATTACCTCGGTGAATCTCGTAAATAAAAATAACTTTTTTAGCTCTCTCTAAATAATTGTAGTTCAAATATCGTGGTGGGACTATTTTTATTTAATAATAAGAAATGGTTTAAAAAAATATTTATTCTAAAAAAACAAATCAAAAAAAATTAAAGCAGATGCTCAATGTGGCGACCATTGGTTTCCACACACAAGCGCAATCGTCGCATCATAGACTGTCTTACACGAAAAAATACTTCAGGATTATTCCTAAGAACTTCGCAATGATGAAAAACTCGTTCTTCCAATTCTTCAACTGTTTCAACAGGACTGGAATAAACCAATGATTTTAAATAACCCCAAACAAAAAAATCCATTGGATTTAGATCTGGTGAACGAGGTGGCCAGTTAACAGGACAACCTCTGCCAATTACTCTACCCTCAAATCTTTCGTTAAGGTGCTGTCTAGCTTCAAGGCTGTAATGTGGTGGAGCTCCATCATGCATAAACCACATGTTATGTCTGATTTGAATCGGAATATTATCAAGAAGCTCATGTAAGTTATTTTCCAAAAAAAGCCTGTATGCTGCTCCATTTAACCTATTCGGCAAAACAAATGGTCCAATAAGGTAATTATCAATAACTCCAGCCCAGACGTTTATTGAAAATTTATCCTGGTGGTGACGTTCAACAACCGCGTGAGGGTTATCTTCAGCCCATTCATGCATATTTCGAAAATTTATTATACCATCTCTAGTGAAACCAGCTTCATCGGTAAATAGCACTTTATTAAGAAACATTGCATCTTGATTACATCTTCCAAGAAACCATTCAGAAAAGATAACTCGCGGCTCATAATCAGTAGCTTTAAGTGCCTGAACTTTTTGAATGTGGTAAGGGTACAATTGTTGTTCACGCAAAACTTTCCATACCGTGTTACGTCCGACTCCCACTTCTGAAATTAAATGAGAGAATCTGTGTAGTGAATAGTTAAGAACGAGAATCCATTGATTTGGGAAATCAGATTTTTTCTGCATAACGCAACTCTTTTCGATACGAAAAGTCGTGAAATGTAAGAGAAGCAATAACAAGTAAAAAAACTAGTTTTATACGATAAGGTACGGGGTAGCTAAAATAATAAATAAGTAATTACTTACCATTTGCTATTTTTCTGGTACTTGTCGATGGGGTTTCAGCTACCCTATCCAAAATTGCTTCTTCCAAAGCAGGAGTTCTCACATAATTTTGTCTTCCACTGTTACTAGAGTTTTTCTTAAATGTACCAGTTTCCCGAAGTCTATCGTCAATTCTAGAAAACGTCTTAGCGCATGGAAGATGCCTATTTGGAAAGCGCTCCTGATAAAGTCTGCGAGCTTCATTGGCATTTCCAGAAGCGAGTCCAAAACATAAGTGCATGTCCGTCATTTCGCCGAATGTGTAATCATTATTGTAGTTATTGTGAGCCATTTTAAACAAAATAATAACAATACAACGAATCGCACCAGAACACTTTTAGAAATAATGTTTAACTGAAGAAACATTTTTATCAGTGAGCGAAAAAAATTATCCATGAAACACAAAAACGCCAAAAAAATACATATTTTTACTTTTTTATTCTAAACAGCTAAATACAAACCTTATGGTCTTCATAATAAATAAATGGGAACTAAATTTTTAAATTTTATTTAGAGAGCTAAAAATAGTATACAGGGTGATTGATTAGTGTGAGGAAGCTCTGTAGATCTGTTATAATAAAAGTAGGCAGCTTTAAGCTTCACATTTTAAAATTAGTTACGATGTGACAGGGTGTTTCATAAGGCCGTGCCAAATCAAAGTTATGTTTTTTAAATGGAACACCCTGTATATTTTTATATTTTTAGAATCTGCTCGATAATCTGATTTCAATGATATATCACACTTGTTATCTAATATGAATAGTAAAGGATCTACAGCTACTCAAAAATCACATTTTTTCAAATTCAGGTGGCTGTTGTAGCCAAACAGTTGGAAATCGAGGAAAACGGCTTACAGTCCCTATCCTAACTTTTTAAGGTCTATTCAGTGACATAAAATACATATTATTTGATACAGGGTGATCAAAAATCCAAAATCACATCCGATTTTTGATCACCCTGTATCAACTAATATTTTTTGCCACTGAATAGACCTTCAAAAGTAAGGATAGGGACATGTAAGCCGTGTTCCTCGATTTCCAACTTTTTGGCTACAACAGCCAAAATTGAAAATTAACCTAAACTGCACGAATATCTTTGGATGATGTTTTCTCGGAAACGGCTGCTCCAATCGAGATCAAACAAGTATTCCTTTTTGACGTAGTTTTCAATGTAGAATGTAAAAAAAATATGGATAAGTCATTACCAAAAACACAAAAAAGTTATGAATAATCAAAATTTTCAAAAAATTCCCAAGTACACCCCTGACGAAATAATTTCTTTTTGAAGGTGTCAAAAGGTCACTATTATTGATCATATTTAACAGCCAAAATTTGGTTCTTTTATTTGTTTCCATTTTTAAGAAAATTCAAAAAATCAAAATAAAAAAAATGATTTCGAGAGGCTGTTGCTCGCTTAGGGGGCACTTTAGGACATAGGTCTATAGGAACTTTTTTTCCATTTTTTGGTTAAGGAATCTGCCTGAGAATTTTGGGACACATTTTAAAGGACACCCTGTATATACGAAATAATTTAACAAAACAAAGTACTTAAGAAAACATCAATAACATTACAAAATAAACTAACTATTTAAAGTAAATAAGGGTACTTAGGTAATTATAATATCCATCAAATAACAATAAGATAGTCCATTACCGGGATTATCTCACAGAAAACTGGGAAAGAGATTTAATAAGGGTGAATTATTAATATCTAATTGATCATTTAGTAAGTTATCTGAATTTTTAAATCTATTTATTTCAAGTGTTTCTAAATAGTTTAATTTAAGGCTCTTGTTTTCTACATGTAAAATTTCAAAGTTGTCTGTAAAAGAATGATTTTCAGCTAAAATATGATTTGAGTAAGTAGAATTATTTTTGTTTTTTGTATAGCTATTATAATGTTCGGAATAGCGTTTTTTGAAAGTACGGCCTGTTTGACCAATATACAATTTTGGACAACTACCACAATTTAATTTATATACCCCCGATTTATTATTAGGATTAATTTTACCCTTATTGTTTTTAATATACTTCCCAAGCGTATTATTGGTTTTAAAAGCTACGTTAATATTTTGGTTTTTTAAATATGATGATACCTTTTCACTAGAAGCTCCTATATATGTAAGACTCTTATATCTGCAATTTGGATCTTTAATTATGGGATAAACTTGTTGAATAGCCTGTTTAAAAAGTTTTTTCTCTAAAATGTTGTCTACTAACTTTGAATTCAAAGTTAGTAGACAACATTTTAGAGAAAAAACTTTTTAAACAGGCTATTCAACAAGTTTATCCCATAATTAAAGATCCAAATTGCAGATATAAGAGTCTTACATATATAGGAGCTTCTAGTGAAAAGGTATCATCATATTTAAAAAACCAAAATATTAACGTAGCTTTTAAAACCAATAATACGCTTGGGAAGTATATTAAAAACAATAAGGGTAAAATTAATCCTAATAATAAATCGGGGGTATATAAATTAAATTGTGGTAGTTGTCCAAAATTGTATATTGGTCAAACAGGCCGTACTTTCAAAAAACGCTATTCCGAACATTATAATAGCTATACAAAAAACAAAAATAATTCTACTTACTCAAATCATATTTTAGCTGAAAATCATTCTTTTACAGACAACTTTGAAATTTTACATGTAGAAAACAAGAGCCTTAAATTAAACTATTTAGAAACACTTGAAATAAATAGATTTAAAAATTCAGATAACTTACTAAATGATCAATTAGATATTAATAATTCACCCTTATTAAATCTCTTTCCCAGTTTTCTGTGAGATAATCCCGGTAATGGACTATCTTA